ATTCAGCATTGGGTGAGTGACTTTTCTGGAATAAGATAAGGTGAGGATGTCATGGTCAATTGTACATGTTGATTAAAGTTAAAATAGTTACTTTAAAACTAACCTTCATCTGGGAAATCACAGGGATATGTGAATATTTGATCTGTTAATTGGTTGCATATGTCAGATTTATTGCATGACTCGGGCAGAGAAAAGCTGTTGCTATCAAACATTGTTCACTTGTTCACAAACATCAGTGTATTGGTGAAGAGACAGATCAAATAGGCCAGTTGATGGAAGGTTTGCGATGAAATGTCATGCTCCCTTGTAAAAGTATTTTTTAGTATTTTTAAAATACAAAAATACAGTAGTTTATTTTGATACATGGTGTGGCTGCTGTATTTTGTAGTTTATTTTGATACACTTAAAATGAAGGTATTTGGTATTTTACTTTAAAATACATTTTGATGTATCTTTGCCCATCCCTGTGTGTGTGTGTGTGGGGGACCACCGTGACTCATTTGTTTGACTTTTAGCATTTAGTATGCAAAAAAAATGTCTACATTTAAATTCTCACTTGTCCCTGAAATGTACTTTTAAATGATTTGTGTACTAAAAGTGTGTAAGTGTGTAACACACACAGACAATCCACATTAAATTGGAGATAAATTCCCAATAATTAGTCTTTTAAAAAATCTAAGTGAGCATGATTTATATGCATTACCATGTGTTTCTAACTTTTAATCTTTAATATTTGAAGATTTGCAGTTTCATATTTGCAGTTATCGCAGTGTTTGTGTAAAGGGAATGCTTCTGCACTCCACTGCTTCACCAACATTTCCAGAAAGATACTGAAATGGAGGGAACAGCACAGTAACTTACATAGTAGTTTTAATGGTGTGGGAAAAATGTGAAATGGGGAGGGGAATGGCACATTAAGGTATAAGTTTGAAAAGCACATATTTCTTTCCAAAAGTGGAGGGATAAATGTTTTTTTTTTTTAAATGTAGGTGTAATGATTTCTATGTACTGGAGTTTACTGAATAAAATACATAAGCCATAAAAGGATGTGTGAAAACATGGAAACCTTGCTTTTATTGGTGGTTCTATTTGTTTAAACGGTTGTTCCAACTTTGTCTTTACTTTGGAGAACAAAATCGATATTACTCTCCATATTATTGGTTCTCACATTGATTTCCACCACGTCTGATGAGTGATGAACTGCTCAATGGTGATTCAGAGCAGTGGAGTCACTGATATACAAAACAATAATAATAATACTAAATATAGTTGCAAGAAGCAATTAAGGGACCAAGCACTACAGAGGCAAAATGGTGAGCAAGCAAGGCAGTGAGCAACAGATCAACTGCAAAAATGAGTAATTAAAGACGTAAAGATGATTTTAGTCAAAATGGCTAAAAAGTCATAAACACAATCACAAGTAATATGATTTAATGGTTTGTCACTTTTGACCAATAAGGTGGCACAGTTATCAAATTGATGTGGTGTGGTGGCACATCCGAAGTTTTTGTGTCAATATGTCAAAGCTTTGCCAGAGATATAGCCTCAGATGCAGTTTGACATCATGCCATCAAAGTCGTTGATGCAGTAAATGAGAACCAATTTGTCGAATGGACATGAAATCTATAACTTTTTGTCAGCATGGTCTGAAGATGACCTGATTTGAATTTAATGAAAATTGGACCAACAGTCAAGGAGTTTGAAAAAGAAGATTTTCAAAGGAAATCAAAATGGTGGACATAAAGTTCGGCCAATTATGGCATAATTGGTATCAGTGTTCTTGGCGTGACCAAGGGAATCTATCAAGATGACTTTCATGACAACAGGCATAACTAATAAAAAGATATTAGCTTTTTTTATTTCATTATAATTTTTTGGCCATAAGAAACTTTTTGAGTACCTTCAGGGCACGGTGCAGCAGACACATGCCGAGTTTTGTAGATACACCAATGCATTTGTAAAATATTGCAATTTACGTCAAAATATAAAATGGCCAATGCCCAAAATAGTCGACATGGGTAAATTGGGTATGGTTCAACTTGGGTGTTGCACCAAATCTAAAGAGACTAGTCTTGTGATTTTTTGGCCAAACTGTTCAGAAATTATAAGCAAGTCAGTGCGGATAGCCTCATGGTTGACGCACCAACATATAGTGCAACTACACCTCCAACAACCAAAAATAAAGGATATTTTTTTATGGCATAAAAGGCCATATATAACTTATAGCCTATATATTATTGTTCAGACGGTATTCGAGAAGGGTTTGACAAATTAACTTGATTTCCATAACTTTTTGTCTGCATGATCTGAAGATGATTCAAAAAGTATATATATATTTTTTTGTGTGTGTGTGTAATTGAAAAATGCAACAAGCAGTATTGGAGCAGACATGCAGTTTTGAGATCATATTTTAGCATTCAAAACAATTAATTTTTTTAATTTAAGTAATTGGCATTGGTTCTTAGTTCGAGATGGGTGCATTTCATTCAGAAGTGATCATCCCTTCAGCAGTTTTGGAGGATAGAAGAATGCATGGCTCAAAAGTAGGGGTCATTCGAAACAAACTTTAGAAAAAATTGGTTTGGAACAATTCTTCAACATGGCTACAGTATGTTCTCTTTCTTCGAAAGCGTCACAACACCGCTTGGGACACAGGCCAGATGTCAGTCACTGGTGAGTTTCTTTCTTTCTTTCTTGCAACAGGAAAGAGCGCAATGGGGGTTATGTGCAACAGACTTCCCTTTTGTATAAAACAGGTCTCGTTGCTTCCGGTTCAAGTGTTTTGTATATGCTCCGTTGAATATGGAGCTGTTTTACTCAAGATGCATAGAACTTTTTAGTTGTATGCCGAGGCTCTTTATAGGTCAGGTTGAATCTGTAATCTCCATGGCTGCAATACAATGTTTTTTCGCGAATGGCAACTTGGGGTGTTGAAATACCATTGTGTAAATTGGCAGTGACCAGAATCACACAGACCAAAGCAAAAACAGACATTCAGACACAGAACGCACATTTCAAAGTGGAATAACTGTCGGTAGCGTCGTTTTTAAGAGATTATGTGAACTCAGCATATTTCCTAAATATCTGCAAACATATTATGGTATTTTTATACTTTAGTACAGTCAAAAAAATTACATACTGCACCTTTAAACAAATCACAAATATGGAAGTGTTTTCCCGGGAAATGCAAACAGGTGACAGTGGCATCTGCTGAGCTGGGGACACCTTTCCCACAACACAGAGCCCCCATTCGACGCGTTTCTAAATTTGTAGGTGTTTCTAAATCATTGCATAAAATGATGACCTTTAACTGACCCCACCCCTAAATGCAATAGTCACTGTAACGTAAGTAACGTGGTCGAAAACACCCTTCCGTTATGGCCAAGCCCACCGATCTGGCAACTCCCATTACTGTCCTACAGAGACCCACTTGCACTCGACGCGCCCAATAATGAAAAAAAGGTGAGATCAAGTCTTGTTCTTAAAATGCATGATAACTACATACTGTATATTGCGAAGCATGAAAGTACAATTTAAGTTTAATTTTGTGAATAAAGTATATTCTGTTTAGGGCAGTGTTCAGTCCTGCTCCGGGAGGGCCAATGTCCTGCAGAGTTAGCTCCAACCTTCCCCAACACAGTTGCCTGGCAGTTTCTAGGAATCCTGAAGACCTTAGCTGGTTCAAGTATCAAGTGGATTGAAGCTAAACTCTGCAGGGTGGTTGCCCTCTAGGAGCAGGAATGGACAGCGCTGGTTTAGAGTTTTATGTTTCAATTATGTTAACTTACAATTTTCTTCTCATTTGATGATTTGTTGCAATCAGCAAAAAATATGATTTTACTCACTATGTAGGCATTGAGTAGTAAATATTATATTGTCATATAACAGTATTTTAGAATCTACAATTTAATAGAAACTACAGAATTAGTGGTTTAATTCCTGCTGTTCAATTGTTTTCTTGGTGCAAAAGTTGCCCACAAACAGCACTTGCACTACAGCGAGGAGATTGTCTAGTTACTCAATCCAGAGTCGAGGGAGAGTGTTGGCCTGCCACTTCTTTCAAGATGCATAGATTTGGGTCAAATGCAGTTTGGTGCAGTCTAATGGCGCTTTTCCACTGCGTGGTACGACTCGGCTCAGTACGGCACGGCATGGTACGGTTCGGCTCGGCACGGTTTGGGTTTCCACTGCAGTTCAGTACCGCTTTAGAGTGGGCGGGATTATTCACATGTCGTTATAGTTGCGCCGCCTCTACTACCACGACTCCTAAAAAAAAAACGTTTTCATTCTGCATCGCCCCATCAAGCTCTCACTGGATCCACTCCTCTGCTATCAACGAGAGGAACGTCTGTACTTCCTCAACAGACCACGAAACAGCCATTTTTGGTTGTTAAAAAAAGGTGCGCTCGTTCAAAACAGTTGCGTTCGATCCTTCGCTGGCTGTGCTGATTTAAATCTAGCGGTTCTTTTGTGTTTGTGTCGCGCAAGTAGTGACGATTCTCTCCGGCCAATCCATGATCAGCAGAGTTTACACGTCACGTTTTGGTAGCGGTACGGTTCACTTGGTACCCCAACCGAAGTGGTACTAAAAAAAGTACCAGGTACCAGGTACTGTACCCAGTGGAAAACCCCCCAAAAGTGAACCGTACCGAGCCATACCGTGCCGTACCATGCAGTGGAAAAGCGCCATAAAACTACATATATATTTGTATCTGTGGTCCTGCCTCTTGCACGGTTGCAGATATGATATATGACCTGGGTTCCAACAGCTTTCTCTTTCAGTGTTTACATTAATCTGTATTTGACATGCATTGAAGAATTAAACCCACAGTAACCAACCAGACACCCATGTACCAATGGGACGAGCCTAAAAAAGGTTTGTTCAGCTCACCAAATCTACAGTATAAATATAATAATTCAAACTCCGTATTTGCTTTTCTTTCTGTTTTTACAGTTCACACTGACATTTAATTTTTGGACTGGTAGATGTCTCACTACAAAGAACTGTCATTCTTTCTTACAGAAATGCTACAGTGGTACAATGGTATACTGGCCTGTGGCTTTTTGTTGCCAAAGCAGGACGTTCTTTTTATGTAATGTGAAGGAAATTAATCATTTTAAATTCATCATAACTAACATTCCTTTTCCTTTCATTCATATGCTTTTGAGAACAAAATGTAGCAGCTTTAGTTGGTGTGTTGCAATAACGGATGTATATGGACAAGACAGCTAGACATCTGTCTGAATATAAAAATAACCAAAACAACCCATGACTTGAGTAAAAAGCTGAAGTAATCAAAAACCAAATTTGTTTTGCCAGTAAAAGAGGGGAGGTTTGCTGAATTGCACATAAGAAGAACCAGTTATATTAGAGCAGGGGTCTCCAAGCTTATTTCATTTCAGAGCTACTAACATCGACAAGCTGACATTTTTGCTTGTTTATTTGTGGTAGTCAGTTGATAAAAAGAATGTCAATCATCAAAATTTATGTTAAGATATATAGAAGGTTTGTTTTTCTCAAAATGTAGCATGTATCCATAAAGTAGTTATTCCTTTAATGTATGCTATGATTTTCTACTAGTTCTTTTACTTCTAAGACATGAATTTTGGTTGTATCATTTCTTTCCTACAATTAGAGATGCTGAGACGTGTTCTGGCTATTAGCCTGTTCATTTTATTGAGCTTACTGTTATAAAATATTTAGACCGGGGGCCTATCACAGATGTTTGTGTATTATTATTGTTGAAGGATCCTCCTGCTATTGCTAAAATCAGTGGTACAATGGTATACTGGCCTGTGGCTTTTTGTTGCCAAAGCAGGACGTTCTTTTTATGTAATGTGAAGGAAATTAATCATTTTAAATTCATCATAACTAACATTCCTTTTCCTTTCATTCATATGCTTTTGAGAACAAAATGTAGCAGCTTTAGTTGGTGTGTTGCAATAACGGATGTATATGGACAAGACAGCTAGACATCTGTCTGAATATAAAAATAACCAAAACAACCCATGACTTGAGTAAAAAGCTGAAGTAATCAAAAACCAAATTTGTTTTGCCAGTAAAAGAGGGGAGGTTTGCTGAATTGCACATAAGAAGAACCAGTTATATTAGAGCAGGGGTCTCCAAGCTTATTTCATTTCAGAGCTACTAACATCGACAAGCTGACATTTTTGCTTGTTTATTTGTGGTAGTCAGTTGATAAAAAGAATGTCAATCATCAAAATTTATGTTAAGATATATAGAAGGTTTGTTTTTCTCAAAATGTAGCATGTATCCATAAAGTAGTTATTCCTTTAATGTATGCTATGATTTTCTACTAGTTCTTTTACTTCTAAGACATGAATTTTGGTTGTATCATTTCTTTCCTACAATTAGAGATGCTGAGACGTGTTCTGGCTATTAGCCTATTCATTTTATTGAGCTTACTGTTATAAAATATTTAGACCGGGGGCCTATCACAGATGTTTGTGTATTATTATTGTTGAAGGATCCTCCTGCTATTGCTAAAATAATCAAATCGAAGCAGCAGCACTTTTGCCTCCACCTTCATGGACTAAATATTAAGGCTATTCCTTCAGGGATTTCAATCTGACTGAAAGTGTTATCAGAATCATTACGAACATTATATAGCTAATTATATGTTAATTAATAATAACATAAAATGCATCAATGCACTGATAATGCTCCACATTCATTAGGCTACTTTTAAATCATGCAAAATAAATTTTCATATGACTGCTGGTGGGAGGGGCTTTTTTCAGGGGACTCAGATGTGCTGTACACCACTATTATAATATGTTTTTCGACTCTAGAAGATAATTTTAAGACTTTTAAGATGGTGACTTTGGATTTTACTCAAAATATGGGCCAATTACCCAGTGTCTCTTCGGGCAAAGTCATCCTTCTAGTTATTTGCTGCCTTAAAATATCATATGGTAAGTACTTTATATTTCAGAACACATTTTTGAAAGAGTCATTTGCCGTCAGTAGCTATATTTATTACTGGAAAGATCTATATATATGCTATTTTTGTGATATATACGCTCATAAATGTTCAATATAATATGTAACAACATTGGCATATGGTGTTTGCTTGTTGATAAAATACAGATAGGCAGCAGGTTCCAATTTAATCTAATAATACCAAAGTACAGCAAACTAGTTTTTATTAAAAACAACACAATTTCCTGCGTAAATTTAATGTCCAACAACAAATATTTGATCAAAATGTCTAATTTGTCATATCTAATCTGTAGCATTGACGTGCGCAAGAGTGTCGTTCAAGTTGAAAAGTAACTGCTGTTATGACCATAGATACTGTATGGACAGTAATCAGTAAATTTTAGTCTGTCATTATGAAAAAATATTTGATTTAACCATAGTTCTGTGTAATAAAAAAAATCTCTATTGTCTAGCCCAAGTGTTTCTATACTGGTTCATTTCTAGTATTAATTTTGAGTTTGCTGTTATTGGTTCTTTGCACAGTACTTCTTGTCATCTTAATTGAGCCAGTCCTGATCTGATGTGTTCATGTTTCTTCACAGCTCTGCAGTGTGTGGACCCTGTGAAGCCCTGTGTCAACAATGCTACCTGTGTCACTTTCCACAATGGAACAGGCTATTGCAGGTAAGACAGGATGACTCAAGACAGGAACCCGGCACCATACTGATACTTCGACTGACTTCTTGCAATTTTAACCATACTATACTTAATATTTCTTGTAAATGGGAATGTGTTTTTTGAAAATAATGTTTAAAAACCCATAACACTTAAAGGCAAATTACAACCACATGATACATACTGGCCATTAATAAATGTATAACAAAATTAAATTTAAATGTTTGTACAAATGTATTATTTTACAGAACTATTGATTAAATAATAATAAATTAAAACTATGTTTGCTTTCTGCCATTCTCTTCATGCGGAAGTGTGTGTCTCTGTGCGTGTGAATTGCTGGACCACAGGCTGGCTTTTCACAGTCATGCCCAAACATTAAACAAAAGTATTGAAAACAAGGTTTTTTTTAAACGTTATTTACATGTTTATCTGTTGTTGTTGTTGTTATTTTTTATATGCTTAAAGACAAGCCATGTGCAAATTCATCAGTCAACACCATTGCTGTATTTTTTTCTTAAAACTGCCTTGTATTAAATCAATTTCAAAAAAGCAGTTTGAGACCACCCCTAGCTGTTTCCTACCGTCACAAACATTTAACAAATCCCGTCAACATGTGGGGCGGGGCTTTTCATATTTGCTCAAAGGTTTCTATTTATGTGTTTTTGCAACATTGAGTAATGTAGCTAGTCATACATATCTGTCGATTTCATGAACGCAATATGGACAGTTAGTCAGATTTCACTCACTGCTCAAATCTCCTGAGTTGTGTTCAGTGTTGAGTTGGTGAATCCTTTCATTATAGAAACAAGCTCTAGACATGATGTACTGTATAAATACACACACATGTATATATTTATGAAAAATATGTTATTATTAACATATTATTGTTATGTTTAACATATATTAAATATATATATATAATATATAGGCTATATAATATTTATATATAATATAAATTATATGAATATAAATATATGCATGTAAATACATGTAAATATTTTCAAAATATATACATGCATGTGTGTATTTAAATATGCATAATATACACAGTACACACACATTCTGTAAACAAAAACTTTTTTGATTTTTGTTTTTGTTTTATTCTATAAACTACTGACAACGCTTCTCCCAATTTTCATACTGTCATTTAGAGCATTTATGTGCAGAAAATTAATAAAAAAAAATAATAATAATAATAATGAAAAATGGCACTAATGCAGTGTTTTCAGACCTCAAATAATGCAAAGAAAACATGTTAGCCAATATTTTTATACTTATCATATTATATTTAAAGGGGTCATATGATGCGAGTTAAATTTTTCCTTTCTCTTTGGAGTGTTACAAGCTCTTGGTGCATAAAGAAGATCTGTAAAGTTGCAAAGACTAAAGTCTCAAA